AGGAGCCCAAGGTCATCTCAGGTCAGTCACAGCCCCTAGCATGGGAAACTCAGGTGGACCCAGATTTATCAGAAGCCCCTGCAAACTCCACAGTGTCCAGCACCCAACTGTCTCCAGAGCCCGATGCTGGTGCTCTTATTCAGCAAATATTTCCTCTTCGTTTTTACTTTGGGGGAATATGGGTTTCCGTGAGCAGGATGTACTTGAAGCTGTATGCCCACAGCACAGGGCATGGCTCAGCCCAGCAGCACCATTTAGTAGCCACCTGACCTGCAATTTGAGTTTTCTGTTGCCCAGTTTCTTCACCTGTAAAAGGAGGATAATGATAGTGTGTATCTCCTAGGGTGGTTACAAAGCTTAAATGATTAAAATATGTATTGAGCACAGGACTTGGTTGGTCCCCAACTCTTATCATCTCATCATCACCAAGATAGATAGGATTTCTGCCAAGATCCTGGGGCGTGGGGTCACATCAACCCCCATTTGAGCCCTAGCGGTACCGAGCACTTACTAGGTGCTTAAGTTAGTTTTTTGTCCTGATCTCGGTAGGCACAATGCTAACAGACCCGTCCTCTCTCAGGCTAACGTGAGGATGACAGGAGGCAGACAGGTGACACATTAGGGCCCCTGCTGATCACAGTGACCAGCTGAATGACCGGGGGGTGGGGGTGGGGGTCGGAATTTACCTGGAAAGCACATCCCATTAACAAAAATAGAGAAAATGACAAGCGTTAGTGAGGATGCAGAGAAATAGCCCTTGTGCATGGTTGGTGGGTATGTAAATTGGTGCAGCTGCTGGAGAAATAGCCTGCACCCTCCAAACCTTAAGGACAGAATCCCCAGATTGTCCGAGACAGCCCAACCATAGCAGACTGCCCGAGACTGGGTGGTGCAAGTAACAGAAATTCATTTTCTATGTGCTGCAGGCTGGAAGTCTGAGATCCAGGAGGCATTCTGCTCCAGCTCTGGGAGAGCACCTTCCTGGTCACAGACATCCGCCTGTTCCCTGGGTCCTCCCGTGGTGCCTCTCCAAAGTGTGAGTGAAGCAGGGGAGGTGAGAGACACTCTGTATCTTCCCAGTCTTGGAAGCCGCCCGTCCTGTTGGGTTAGACTCCTTTTTCGACCTCATTTAACCTTCATTCCTTCCCCAAAACTATGTCTCCAAATACAGTCACGTTGGAGGTTAAGACTGCAGCATATGGGCTGGGGTAAGATTCTGTCCACAGCACTAGGAGCCCAGCCATTTAATTTCTGTGTACATAAGGGAAGGTGTTGGGAGCAGGGTCTTAGAGAGGTGTTTGCACACTCCTGCCCTTAGAAGCACCGGTCACAATAGCTGAGAGGAGGAAGCAACCTGAGTGTCTGTTGATGGAGGAATAATCCACAAATGTGGTATATGCATACAATGGAGTCTTGCTCAGCCCTAAAAAGGAAGGAAATTCTGACCCCAGCCACCACAAGGCTTGCGGATATTAGGCTAAGTGAAACAAACAAGCCACAAAAATACAAATGCTGTACAATTCCACTTAAATGAGGTTCTTGGAGCAGTGGAATTCATAGAAACAGAAAGTAGGATGGTGCTTGCCAGGGCCTGGGGCAAAAAAAGGGGAGTAAGAAGTTCTATTCCATGAATACAGCGTTTTACAAGAAGAAAGAGTTCTGGAGATTGGCCTCACAACAGTGTGGATATACACAACACTACTGAACTGTACATTTGTAAGTGGTCATTCTATATTATGTGTTTTTATTCCAATAAAAGTAATAAAGAAAAATGAATTTCGGCCAATATGAGAGCAATGGTGGAAATAGACCACCAGGGGGCGATGTGCACCTGCTCCCATTTTATTCGGAGCTTCCCGCCTCCTGCTACCGGGATGGTTCCTAGAGGGGAAAAGAACACCAGGGTCTTGGAGGAAGCTAGGGCTCCCCGGACCCCTTCCCCTCCTTAGGTGGACCCAGAGCGGCACTGCTCTGCCTCCCACCATGTCCGACTCAGCTCCTTATCTGGGTCCTGTCCTCAAGCTGACGCCAGTGTGGCCGTCCTGTGTGGCCTGGCACCCGCAGGCCTGGGGATGGCCCAGGGGCTGGGGATGAGGGCCACTGGCAAGGGCCTCCTGCCCCATGCAATCCAGAGACAAGAGGGCACCATCAGGAAAATGAGTCAGAGACCCCTTATCCCAGCACAGGAACTTCAGGGTTGACCAGAAATGCAGTTTTCGGCTCAGCAACCCAGTGTTCATCCTGATCACTCTGAGCCTTAATTTCCTCATCTGTCAAATCTGTAGCTATACTCAAAAGGGTTGGAATTTTCATCAGATCCTTGATGCCTCAGGAGCCCTCACTAGAGGGGCTACCATTCCATGCTGGCCCAGGGGGCCCCCACCCCCTGTGTCTCCCTCAGCATCCACTTCCTACTTTGCACTTTCTCTTAAGAATCCTCCTTTGAAGAAACCCATGGTCATCTGGCCATAGGATCAGTGAGTAAACCAGGTAGGGTGGACTGGCTTGCAGATAACAGAAACCTAGTCAAGCTGCCTCGAGGGAATATGTCCCATGGGGTCCCCAGGAAAATTGAACAGCAGATGGCTGGGATGATGAAACTTAGTTACGGGGTGAATTTAAAATCACGGGTGATCACAGAGCTGAGAAAGTCACTGTGGACCTCACCCACGGGTTAAATCAGTGCGATGGATCCCAGATTCCATGCGTAACTCAGAGATCTAGCAAAAGGCCGAGAAACCTGCTCCCAGCTCCATCTAATTTATTTGACCTGATGAACTCAGCTTGTACGGCCTCCCGGGGCAGGGCAAAGACACAGACCAGAACATCCTGGATTCTTTTTCTAAGAACCATACAAAACAAAAAGAAAAAACAACAAAGTCCATAGTGGCTCGGTTTTGTTCTATGACTTCTCCATTGGGGTCAGAGCCAGTTTTCCAGAGAATTGAGAGGGGGTCCTTTAAAGGACAAAGGTCTTCCCCTCTGTGGAGTCCCTTTCTCCCAGGATGCCTTGAGGCAGAGCTGTGTGCTTCCAAAGTCCCAGCCCAGTTGAGGGGATTCCCTAGAGCCACACTCCTGGACCCAGTCCCAAGGCTACCTGGAGCTGGGGAGGTGCAAAGGGCCCAGGGTCCATATCAGGCCTCTGTCACAGACCCCCTATGGGAACTCGGCCATGCTCTTAACCTCTGAGTTTTCGGAGTTTTTTCCCATCTGTAAAAGTAGGACGGTACCTGCCGTGCGAGGCAGCTGTGAAGAGTAGCATTATGTAAGTGACTGGCCCACGGCGGGGCCAGACACAATAACCGTTACTCAGTAGGTAGAAGTCACACCACACAGCAATGAATAAGACACAGCCCTGATCTCAGGCTGTCTCACTCCAGCGGGAACAACTCTACTGGTGTGGCTTGTGACATACAGGGGGTCACAACAAAGAGTGGGCGAAGAAGCAGAAAGACAGGATGAGTTCAGGGAGGGCTTCCCGGAGGAGGGACTCTTTAGACAGCCCTTACGTAGCCTGGAGTCGCAGTTCACTTCCCTCATGACCTTGAACCAGTGCTGTCCCCAAACTCGAGTGCAAGATCTCCTGTAACAAGGTTGTTCACTCTCAGCTGAGTCTTTCGGGTCATGGCCTCCTTTGAAAAGAAACTGCAGAGAGAACGAGTTCTTCTTCCCAGAAAAATACAGTCACCTAAGTCTGTCTGTGATGGGGGGGCGGGGGGGGGGTCTTTGCCACCCGTGGACCCCAGGCTAAAACCCGGAGCTTCATGATCCATTTAGATCCTGTTCTCTTCAGTGCCTCTCTCTGAGTCCACAACAGGCAAGCAAGCAGACCACAGACCTAGTCTGGAAGAGCCCATCAGGCCCCAGGCTGCAGGAGAGGGCAGGGGCCAGGAAGGCCAGGTAGTCCCAGCTGGCTGGGGAACTGGAGCTCGGTCCTGGAAAAGCGGCTCTGAGCAGCCTGCCCTGACCCGGCCTGGTTTATCACCATCTGGCCCCGGGGAGGGAAGGGGGTGTGGGCCGCTGTGGTCAGCCTCCCAAATGGCCTGCTGACCCGTCTGCCGCCCGGGCTGGATTTCTGCGCTCATCCTTCATCTTCCCTAATCTAAACACCCACGGCCCCTGGTGGTCCATCCCCTCCCAGCTGTGTGTCCTCAGCTGCATCCAGCCTGTGGGAGGGGGGGAGCAGCCCACCATCGACACTTGAGCTGCTGCCAGCCCTGCCTTCTTTCTATGTGGCCAACCCTCTCCCAGCATTTATTGAGCACCTACTGTTTGCAGACATCTGCAAATGAGATGGCAAGGACCATCCCTTACCCTCCTCAGAGGTCTCTGCCTCCAATCCTGGGTCCCTTGGGAAGCAAGATGCGGTCATGGTCCCCTCATCTTGAGTCTGGGCACTTTGGGGGAGCAGGCTCTGGACTGGGCACTGCCCTAAGCTGCTGTGCCAGCTGGGGCCATTTCTTATCCTTACTGGGCCTCTGTCTTCCCATGTGTGGATCTCAGACATGAATGTAATGTAATTGGGCTCAGGCATGGGCCTTGCCAGTCTCACCTCACCCAACAGAATGGTGGGAGGAGAAAAGGCGACCACAAAATCCTTTAAGATCTTTCTTTAGACAACCTCTGGATTTTATTCAAGTATTTATTGAGCACTTATTAAGTGTCTGGATTAGACAATGGAAATGTAAAGATGACTAGGATTCAAGCAGGCGGCGCTTAGACACCCCTCACTCCATGCCTGGTGTCCAGCTTGTGGTCAGGCAACCTCGTGGGGACCCAGGAGGGCCTAGCGGAGGATTTGGGGAGCCCGGGGCTCGAGTGCCAGCGCCAGCCAGCCTCGCTTAGGGCCGATCTGTCTCCTCCCCTTCCTCCTTCTCCGCCAGCCTCCTCCCCCGTCCCTCCCCTGAGCGTGGCCGCGGCCGCCTCCCACCCGCGGGATCCCGGCGGCGGGCAGCCTGCTCGTGCATCCGTGGTCGGTGGGGTAATCTGTCCAGCGCCTGGAGACCAGCTCCCGGCGCGGCGCGGGGCGGCCGCGGGGCCTGGGAGGGAGAGGGCGCGGAGGCGGGACCGCGGCTCCCTCCCACTCTGCGGGGAGCCCAGGAGGCGGCAGTGCTGAAGCTTAAGCCCGGGAAGGAAAGGAGCAGAGGAGAGGCGGTGAGAGAGCGGGGCTCTTAGGGACCCCACCCCCGACTCCTTGAGAGGGCGGTGGGCGCCTTGCGCCTTGGGGAGGTCTGCACTGGGGAAGGGGGCTTTTGCCCCAGGCCTGAGGCAGTGAGCGTCCAGCTCCCAGCTCCCCTCTTGGGTGACGCGACCCCCGAGGGGCCCTGGGCCGCGCCCGCAGTGCCTCGCATCCTCGCTCACCGCGGCTCATCCCTGCGCGCCCTGCATCCCCCAGCTGCGGCGCGGGCCCCAGGGAGAAAAGCGCTGGGGGTGCTGAGGAGGGGGCTGGCGTGGGGTCTCCGGAAGTCGCGTCCCCCGCCCCGGCCCTCCCTTCAGGCCTGCCCCTAGGGATCGCGGCGGGGCGACCCCCTCGACCCCCCTACCTGCCCCCCCAGCGGCTCCCCATTGTTCTCCACCGCTCGCTCTCCCGGGAAGGGGGAGGGGGTGCTGCGCTCTCCTCTTAAAGGGCCCTCTCTCCCTCTTGTCTCCCGGCAGGTCTCGAGCACGAGTGGGGTGGGGCGTGCCCACGGCCCCCGCCCCTCTCGTCCCCCCCGCCCAGCTCCGCAGCCGCAGCCCGCACTGGCCGGCCCGCTGGGGATACCGCCGCACCCCTTCAGCAGTCTCCAGCTCCCCAGACTTTCCAGGACACCGTGGAGCGGGGACAAGTAGGGACAGGGCACTGGGACGCCCCCTTCAGCGGGAGCCGTCGGGGGGGAGGGGGGAACGGCAGACCGGAGGCCAGCGAGCACCGCCACCGCCCGGAGCCAAGCTCAGAGTCCAGGACGCAGTCGAGCGCAGAGGGCTGGCTGAGCGCCCCAGGGGAAGCAAGCTGGGGCCCAGTCGCCTGGGTGACAGGCCCCGCACGCTGGGAAGAAGGACGGAGGGCTAGAGAGCAGATCTGGAGGCGGGGAGGCGCATCTTGCCTCCCTTACTGCATCGAGGGCGCCCCGGCATTCAGAGCAACGTTTGCCTTGTCAGAAGACACCTGCTTCCCCTTAATCCGAGACAGCCCTGCGGGAAGAGGGTCCTTGAAGACAAGCAGCCCACTCTCCTTACCTGAGGCCTCTGGGCCTGCAGAAGACTAAGTGAGACCTAAGAAGGAGGCCTGACTGGCTTTGCTGCCCACCCTGGGGAGAGAGGAAGCTCCCGGCCGCCTCCAGGCCCAGGAGGGGCTGACCAGTGAGGCTGGGTCCTGGCCCCTGAGGCTGCAGCGGCCATGTCTCGGCCAGGCCAGGGGGTGATGATGCCAGTGAGCGGGCTGGGCTTCCCACCGCAGAACGTGGCCCGGGTGGTGGTGTGGGAGTGGCTGAATGAGCATAGCCGCTGGCGGCCCTACACGGCCACCGTGTGCCACCACATCGAGAACGTGCTCAAGGAGGATGCCCGCGGGTCGGTGGTCCTGGGGCAGGTGGATGCCCAGCTGGTGCCCTACATCATCGACCTGCAGTCCATGCACCAGTTTCGCCAGGATACAGGTGAGCAGACTGACCCCCCTCCGCCAGCCACAGACACCACGCATCACTACCACACCTCCACCTCCTGTGGGGGTGCAGAGGCCCCCAGTGTCCCCTGTGGAGGGAGCCTGGAACCTCAGGGAGGCACAATGGGCTTTAACAAGCGCCCTCTCTTTTAACCCCCACCCCCAAAAGGGCCAGTCTAGACGAGGCTAGTTCAAGACTAGCGTTCCAATCCAGCTTCTTCTAAGTGTAGGATCCTGGGCAAGATACATTACCTCTCTGATCCTCAGTTTCCTCATCTGCAAGATGGACAGATCAGGGCCCTTCACGGGTGGGCAAGGATTAAGTAAAATTGTGCCCACTCAGCACAGAGCCAGGAAAAGCATTAGCGCTCGGTTATCTTACTGAAAGGGTTTTCCACGCACTTCCTCCTTTGATTTTTTTTCTGACTATCACTGGCAACCATCTGATTACTGTATGGTATGACTAGTCCCGTTTTACAGATGAAGAAAGTCTCCCAGCAGCTCAGTGTTTTAAACTCAGAGCAGGGATTCCAGTCCACATCATTGATTTCCAGAGCCAGAGGGCACAGTGGCATCCATTACTGACTCCAAGTGTTGGGGTAGTAAAGATGGGGGGGTGTTGGTGATGGGGTGGGGTGGTGATGGTGGAGGAGATTGTGGTGACTTCGGTGGTAGTTCTGACTGTGGGATTAGTTGGGGGTGCTGCTGATGTTTGTGTTGGGGGTGGTTTTGGGGGTGTGGTGATGATGTAGAGAATGTTGGTGGTTGTGTGTTAGTTGAGGATGGTGTTAAACATGTGAGGTTCACTCAGTATTTTTGTTCTGGAGGTGGCAGTCTCTGGACATCCCCCAGAGTCACTATTGCCTGGTGGTCTCTGACAAGTGTGGCGGGCAGTGGGGAGGATGAGACCCAGTCTTGTGGAAGCTGCCAGAAGGTCCTTGGCATGTCTGATAATGGGGGGTTTGGGGAGTCCGTGGACTCCCTGGATGACAGAGCTGGAGACAGAACACTTTCCTTCTCTCCAAGTGGTGCTATCCAGTATGGTAACCACTAACTACATGTGGCTATTTAAATGTACACTAAAATTTAAGCGATTGTACGTAGACTTCAGTTCCGTGGTCTCTCTAGCCACAGTTCAACTGGCACCACATTGGACTAGGTAGATCCAGACATTGCCAGTTCTAGTTTCATTGCAGAAAGTTCTAGTGGGTAGCCCTGCTTGCGACCATTGCTTGGCACCCAGCTTGCGGGGCCTTCAGAGCAGGACTAGCCGGCCCAAGACCACCATGTTGACCACTTGCCTCCCTTTCCACCTCTCCAGACTCCTCCACCCCTCCCCACTTTCAGCAGGCTCTTAACTCCCCATGGCAACTTCTTTATCGTTCAGCCTCCCTAGACCCCCCAAAAGTTCAACTTCAGCCACACCACACCCACCTATTTGCCAGAAGAGGGAAAAAATACTCATTCCTCATCGGCCTCTTGGGAGCCCGCCAAGACCCTCCAGTGAGAGCTGAGACTGGCACGGCACCTGGATACCGGACACTGCAGGAGGGAGGGGAAAGAAGCTTCCAGCAGAGACATCATTCCCTGTCCCCCTATGCTCCCAGGGGCAACAGTGTCGAGAAAGGACAGCTCACCCTCACTGTGATGGCCCAGGAAAGAGCCTGGGTGGATGTCCTTCCCTCTCCAAGCCTCAGTTAACACATTTATGAAATGGGTGTGAGCACATCTCCTGTAGTAGGGTTGTCCCGTTGACCAAGAGAACCAAGCCGGTGATTTTAATCTCACCAAGCCTGAGCAGTCATCCACCATGTGCCTGGCCCCTGCCTAACACTGCTGATCCAGGGGAGCTACACAGCAGACCTCAACTCTTGGAAAAAGTAAGACACACTCACACTAAAAACAGTATAAAACTGTAAAACCCAAAACCCGCCTGTATGTACTGAAATGAACACAGCTGCATGTAGATTTTCTAGCTGTAAAAATCTTGATAGGTTCATTGAAGCTGAACTCCCATTTGTTGGGGGGAGGGGAGGTAGCCACCTGCCCCGGGTGTACGGTGCCCCCACAGAGATGCTGGCGCCTGGGCAGAGCGAGTACTTCAGCCCTGGGGGCCCTGAGTTCTCTGGGAACTGCTGGTGGGAGCTGCGGCACACTGTGTGCAATGAGTGGACGAGACTGAGCTGTAACGACACTTGTGGGGCTGAGATTTGAATTTCATATCATTTTCACGGGTCATGAGTTATTCTTTTTTTCCCAACTACTTAAAATGTAAATGTAAACTGTAAAAACCCTTCTTAGCTGGTGAGCTGTGCAAGAGCAGACAGTGGTGGGTTGGGGTGACCCCTGGCCTGCCAGGCTGTGAGCCTGCCCACGGGGGGGCGGGGGGGCATGCTGGTGCCATGCACACCCAGCCTGGCCACAGCAGGACACCAGCATGTGGCATGTGCAAGGCGCGGTGTGGTGTGTGCACACGCAGCCCGGCTGGTTTGCACACCCAGCGCCAGCACCCAACCCCGTCTGTGCAGGCCAGGCGGCCACAGAAGAAGCAGCCCAGATGCAGCTCAGACCCCAGGGAGAGGCCAGGCTCAGCCCTGGGGGTGGGGGTGGGGGGCTGCTGTTTGTGTTTGTTCAGCAGTGCCCCCCTCCCCCTCCCCTGCTGGGCTGTTTGCAAGGCTCCCCCAGAGGGTGAGGTCCTCTTTGAAACCCAGAGTGGGGACTGGAAACTGGAGCTGCCGGCCTCACCCTCATGTGGGGGGCGGGCGCTGTGACCCCACCCTGAGATGTGAGACAGTGCTATGGGCAGGTCAGGCTGGGGGTGGGGAATAGCTCTGGGAAGTGCTTTCTGTCCCCTGCCAGGCCACAACTTCCCTAGGGTCATTGGACAGCCCTGCCTTAGCCTCATCTGATCAGCCACACTGTCCCCAGAGCTGGAGAGAGACGAGACGCAATGTCCCTTCTCAGGCACCTACAGATTCCTCCTTGCATGCCCGTGCAGGGGGCAGAGCCAGGGCGACTTTCTAGGCATCTGGGTATCTGCGAGGGGTGACTCTGGCTGCCCTTTGCCCTTTCTCTAGCTGGGCCAGCAGACGCATGCCAGGCTGAGACTAACCACAACTGCTGTCCCCGGCCCAGGCTCGGCTGTGCCTGGTGCTGCCAAGCTGGCAGGCTGGAGTGACAGGTGGCAGCTGGTTTCAGTGTCTCCCGAGCCTCTATCCCTTTTCTGGGTAACAGGGATGCATCCAGGGTGCCTCTCCTTATGGGAACTCGCGTCTGAGGCCACACGTAGGCTCCTGGTGGCTAGGCAGACCTTCCAGAGGATCAGCTACCTCTTCCGGGGAGAGCAGATATCAGGGAAGGGATCCCCAGAACTGAGACTGCGAGGCAGGTCATGGCACAGGCCCAGAGAGGGCGAGTCACTTGCTCAAGATCACGCAGCCGGTTGTTACTCCCAAGCTGGACACAGACACGGTGAAGGTCAAGCCCAGGTGGGGAGCAGCCCCTCCCCCTTCTCCCTTAAGAGCTGTTAGGGCTTGTTGTCAGAGTCTGTACCGTGGAAGGAGCAGCGTGTTCCACCCCGGAGTCCCCCAGGCCCAGCTCCCCGGTCATAGCACCCACTGGGACCCACTCCCCGCCAGCCTGGGAGGCCCCTGGGGCCGGCTGACACCGAGAGTGAGAAGCTGGTGTGTGTGTGGGAAGGGCGGAGCCGGGCCCATTACTTCCAGCCACACTGCCGTTGCCACCAGCACAGGTCTCCGGCAACTTAGCTGGCTCCAGGAGCCTCTTCAGACACCTTCAGTTCATCACCACTTTTATTTGATTGTCAATAGTGCCGCAGAGCACAGGGCCCTGGACCGGGTCCTGGAGACTCAGAGAGAAGGACCCGATTCTTGCCAAATTGGTGTCTGAGTCCAGAGGAGATAAAAAGCAGATCTAGATGGTGGGTGTCGTGGTTGAGCCCTCTGACTCATGGAGCCAGCAAAGGTAGATCTGAATTCTGGATCATCCTCTTCGGCTGTGTGACCACAGGCCAGCCCCTTCACCTCCCTGAGCCTCAGATTCCTGCTCTGTAAGATGGGAGCAAGAATTGTTCCTACTGAGGAGGTTGTGAGGGTTAAACGAGATGGTGTAGACACAAGCATGAATGTTCCGTGACACACAGTCGGCGCTCATGCTCAAGCAGGAAGAGACGTGAACGCCTGAGCATCCCCTCCAGTGAGGCGAGGAGGGCGGCGGGTGCCTCAGGGGTCTGAGAGGGAGGACTCCCTGGAGGAGGAGTCCTCCAGTGTCTGTATGGTTTGGAGAAAAAGAACAACTGGAGAAACTCTGCTAGGTGGAAGGAACAGCATCAGCAAGGGCCTGGAATAGAAATATAGGCAGAGACCCCAAGCCTGGTGGGAAAGGAAGTTGTGACAGAGAGGGAGGCGGGGAGGGGAACAGCCAGCCTCTTGGGACCCACCAGTGCTGCTTGGGCTGCCAGCTGCTGCCCTTTAGCGGCTGGCCCCAGGGGACCCAGCGCCATGCTGCGGGACCAGCCTCATTAATCTGAGGTCCTCAGAGGCCTGAGCCGGAGCAGGTAGGTGGCTTGGTGGTTGCTGATACAGCCTGTCTGGGCTCCCTCCAGCCAGTTGGCCAGCGTCCCCCCCGGCCCCCCCCTCGTTACACACAGCAAAACTGAGGCTCAACATGTGGGTGCCACCCGCCCAAGCTGGGGAAAGAAGGGTCAGAGTTCAGATCCACATGAGCAGCGACAGCCTGTCTCCTGCCTCCTGGTCTCTCGGCCCAGCACCTTGGACAGTACTGCTGCGGGGCTGGAGGGGGGTCCCCCTCACCCCCTGTCACCCTCCTCTGCTCTGCCCCCTGCCCGCTTCTCCCTCTCCACCTTTCCTGCTCTCCCAACCCCCAGACTCACCCAGGGATGCAGGAGGTAACGTAGCTGTAGCTGTGAAGAGGGAGGCGTGGGGGTTGCAGTGGGGGAGGTGATAGGGAAGGTGA